GGAGATCTAGTATGGAGGAAAAGAGTGTGCCAGCAGATTGAATAGTTATATATATATATATGTATAGATATACGTTTAGATATGTATATGTGGAAATACATGTGCGTGTGAGCGCACACAGATGTAGGTGACCGTGTGTAGATATGTTTTTTGGTCCACACCCTGGCTCATCCCCTTAACTGCAGGATTGGCGTAGTGGCCCACTTGTCCGCCAAGTGTTGCGCCTGGGGATTGAATATGGGTCCCACGGTGTTGGTAGAGATCTAGGACCAGATGTAGAACCTAGGATGATTTCCTGTAGGTTTTCTCATTTTAATACATTATACATCCGTTATACCTATACTCCTAGTGTACTTAACGCCACATTGTCGTCTAGTTGGTAGTGTTTTTGTATATACTGGTTTTACTTGTCCATTTTGCCCGTCCTTCCACGGTTTGGAAGCATTTGCAAATAGCATACGACGCATTTCACACACGGTTTGCTGTGCGAGGAGGCCCCAATTCCGATGTGGAATGGGGCAGAGGAGAACAACTTGGCCGAACCACTGCGTTTCAACACCGGTTTGTCATCATTTTTAGCGGCCCCCAAATAGATAGAAACGGCTTCCAACACATTCTTAGTGGGGATCTACTTTTCTGTCTATTTGCGGGTCTATATAGCTGCACCAGCTGTTACTTTCTATGTTGTTTGTTCTAGGATTTCCCAGCTGCAAGAGGTAGGCAGTGTTCGATTCTTTTGGGTTCATTGCATGATTTTGTCCTTCAGTGCCCTGTGAATCAATCGCATCTCAACCTGCCTTTGCAGGCTTTGGCATCCTCGACTGTTGCAGGGCCTGCCTGGGGCCTCGAGCCTTCAAGATCGTACTTGACCAGTTGCACGCGAAACCATCCAAAAGACTTCACCTAAAAAGGTTTGAGATGGTTGAATCCAGGCATCTACCCACTCAGCTACTCTGTTGCTTTGGAAACATGATCAAACAAGACCAACGCTGGCAGATTACCCACACAGCCACAGGCAGGTTCCATTGTTCTGAACCTTCACCACCCACAAAGAAAAGTTGGCTTGAATGCACACGTACACATGAGGAAGGTCTGCAATGTCACTGCATTTATCTTCAACTTGGTTGACTGCAACCAGAGGAAGAGGCCCACTTAGGTCGGGAGCATATCCTACTCAACTCATCAAATGATGATTCCTCTCCTGCTCCACTGGCACAGAACAGGCTCATCAAGGGTCCCACACTGCTATGCGGACGAATGAGGGTCAAATTGATGGGGGAATTCACAAAATCTGGAAGGGCACAGCGGCAATTCTCCTCTTCTGCAGAGTGATGAAGCGACCAGACACTAATCCAAGATTGTGACCACGACACCTAGGCTGAGTTACGCGGCATATTCGTTGCGCCGCCAGAGTGGGGATGCTTGGGACTCCCTGAAATGAGAAAGGTTCAAGAAAGATATATACTGATATATGTGATATAGTACACACACATACTCGGATCATACGATAAACTTGGTGTCTTGATTTGGGACTGGTTTATCTTCCTGTTTTATGACATATATTCTTCATGTCTTCTCGATGTGATGTGGGTCAACGCCCCAAGCAATGCAGTGTGCAGTCCCATCGGGGCAGGAACAGTTCTTTCCGTGGCTGGCCATGCCATGCCACCACTGAGTAGTTCTCAAAGCCGGGACCAGATCTCAAGTATTCTCAAACACGAAGACCTGAGCGATTTTGAGAACTAAAAAAAGCTGATCACCTCAAGCCTCAACCACTCCAGAACTTCCTGATAAGTTTCTTGACTCGAAGTTCAACACTTTCTGTGAAGACATCATTGTCTGGTCCCTTGTCATACGTCTTTTCTAGAAGCAAATTCTAGGCCCCCCAAATTGACCGATCTCTACCATGTCCCGTCTGAAGACGTCTCTCCTTTTTCGATTCTTAAACCATCGAGTGAAAAACGACGAGTGCACAGAGGGCAGCATGTTTTCCGGAGGGCCCTAAGATAGATTGTCCAGTCAGGCCACACCTTGGAGGATCGACCCGTTCGGCCACCGAAAGCCATCCATTTTCATTTTGGTGCTCGGCACCAAAGGCTCCAAGTCTTCGCTTGGCCATTCGCTCTTGCCACGAAATCACCGACCAAAGGATTTGTCCGTTCCTCCTGGCCGCGGTGCGCCCCACTGCAGGGGAGGCCTCTTCACTGGCTTTGCCATCTGCTGGGGACCCGAATCGACCAAGTCCACGAGGGCGGGTCTTCGTCGACTCCAACACGGTGATTCGGACCAACCATTGGGTGGACACAGAACTGTTATGAACCAGTGCTATTTTTGAATGGGACCTATCATGAGGTCATGAAAACATATGAAGACTCACTCACCGGAGCCCTTTTCTTTCGCTTGTGAAAGGCGCCAACTGACCCCATGTTGTCGTTTGCTTGGTGAACCGAGAAACCAGGCCGCCCCCATTGCTTGGTTTACTCGTACCCGAAGAAAGCTGAGGATGCGGAAGAACTGCGACGGGAGCTAGAGCAGCTTGGACCTGGAGAGTGACAGGGTTCACTTGACTTTCTTAGAAGAAATGCATCCTTTGTTTGTACGAGTACGGACTGAGTACCCTTTCTCTAGGCGAGTCCATTAACAAGGGGGTGCCAAGTCCGAAAAGAGAATGATGTTCGATGATGGCGAAATCCACCTTGCCATAGGCAAAACAAGACGACTTGTTTCAATCCTGCCCGGTCTTGGTATCAGAGAGGTGCATTCTCCCACTGTGACTTTGTTTTCACCACCGCAGACCAAAGACGCCACACGGTACACTCCCTGAAACAAGTGTGCAAGTGGAAAACCATGTGTTTCTAGAGGAATGTTGTCATATCCAAGGGACCATTTTCCACTTCCATGATAATTTCAGTGAATGTGCCAAAGAGGCACCTCTGCCCAGCAGCTCATGATGTTCTCATCGACGAGCGGAGCTTCTACCTGGCTCAGCAGGACCGGGATTTTCTTCGGTTGATTGACAAGAGGGTGGTGTGGCTAACTCGAGCGACCCCCTTGTTGACCGCTCGACCTGCAGCACCGCAGCAGCTTGGTATGGTGTGATTCCTTGGTCTTGTGCCATAGAGCTTTCAGGGCCGGTCTTCAGAATTCGCTCCTATGTTTCGTGTCTTCCATGCTGTTGAGTTCAGGACTCCAACAAGCACTCCATGAAGAAAAGTAAGAGCTGTAGCAACTCCCAGTTATCGGTTCATCTGGGCTCACCTTTTGAGGTACTTTTCCCTCCAAGACGACCACCACGATTTGAAAAGCATCAGGTTTTTCCATCGTTGATAGCCATATTCTCTAGCCGATGATTTCATCCGTGCCACAAGGATTCATCCCACCTCTTTGCACCTTCCCTCAGTGCATGTCGGGTTTTCTTTCGCCAAGTCGCTGATGACGGAAGACGTCGGTGACGCACGTTGCAGGTGTCGGCAACGTCCTACCACGGGGACATGATGCTCGTCTGCAGCGCTCCAATGTGCAGCTTGGTCCATGGACTGCCGTGGGAGGGAACTTTCTGGTTCTCTTTTTTTTGCATTTCACTTGCTTGTGTCCCTCTTGTTTGTATGTGTTTGTGGTCATTCTATATAACTCAAAACGCAGGCTGACTGATATCATGCTGACCCAAGGCTGGGTTTACCAGCTTTGCTGCAGAAGTACTCTGGTGTATGCAGGTGTCTCACCTTCTTTGGGCTGGCGTGGCTGGCTGGCATACCGCAGCCCTTATGACCAGAGGGTTCTGTTCAGAGGCTGCACTGGGAGTCTGACTCCACCCATCTGCCCTTGGGGATAAAACAACCTGCCTGGTTTCGAAGCATCTGGAAGGAGTGAACTCATGAAGTGAAAGGGAAAGGGTCTTTCCTGAGACATGTTTACACATTATGTATCATTATGTACAAGTTCAAACGGCAACCAAAGCAACGGTGCTGTGCGGAAGCGACTGAAGCAGATGTGACCGAAGCGCGACGCGAGCGGATCGCGAGCGGGTTCTAGAATCTAGATGTTGATCCCTTGCTCCCTGCAAAGTAGCAGCAAGTACAACTATAATTCATCAGATGGGAAAACAACATTTGCTTCAAGCACGAAAGAACTCGATTCGACCTGGTGACAAACATCATTCTGCCCACCTCCACAGCGATTGTCACTGGAAGCCTCGGGTCATCCAAGTTTATTCTGCAATACTTTTTTTTTCTGTTTTTTCCTCGGATGCGATTGAGTCATATAGCCTGTGTTCTGTCCCAGGCTCCCATTTGGTGACGCGCTTACGCCAGGCTGACGGCTGACGGTCATGGGTTTGGTGGCAGCTTTACACGTGATTCACCCTTTTTCACGTTGCCAGCAGTAGTTTTCGCAAGAGGTTTTCGCAGCTTTCCCAGCTCATCTCAAGACCGATGGCTCTTGCAGGTTCATCTCACCTTTCTGACCTTATGGGGACTGGTGAACAGGTTCTTCCAAACCCTAGAATTTCTTGGATGTCTTGGAGGCCCTAGGTCGGACGATGGTGACAGATGCTGCCGGTGTTTGATCTGGGTGATTTCGGACTCGAGATGTTTGATTCTTCAGGTGGGAGAAGAAGCAGACTATTTCACTCGAAAGTGACATCCATGTAGAAGGCAGTTAGCGGGTGTTGTGTATTCAAGGTATTCCCATGGGCGGTTTGTATCTATTGCCAATTGCCCGTTCCACCGGGCCCTTTTTTGGTACGCGACCCGAACCCCGGTCGCACTCTGCTGCTTCGAAGGTCTGGGAGATGGAGAATCCCGAGGCCTGGAGATTCTGACGGAGTGGGAGTGAAAAGCAACGAATGCACAGCGCTATCTCACAGAACTATCTCACAGCCAAGACTGATCAGCAAGGCCGCAGCCGATCGCCTGCTCCGCCTTGCCCAACGAGGAGTGCCAGCCAGCGCCCCAAGAGTTCTGGGAAATGCGAGTGCCGCTTAATCTTGGGGTTCCTTGAATCTATATGACCAAGAGAAGGTAACTGGTGGTTCCTTTAAACATGGAAACTGGTGGTTCCTTTGCCCACTTGAGTAAATTCTAGCGTTCCCAATCTTCTTGAGCGAACATAGTGCCCTGAAGGTCTATGTTTGGTCTCCAAATACAATCAAATACACCACGATAGATGGATGGGAGACAATCCAGCGTCTTCAAGACTGAACATGTCATGATTCTGGTGGCCAGCATTGCCAGGTGGAAGGACACATGCACACACACACACAGAATCTTTGTTCAGCCGTTTCATTTTGAGCTTTTTTTGCGCCTTCTTTGTGATGAGCCAGATGGTTGTGGTGTATCTCAATGAACGCAATCTTGTGAGGTGTGGCCGCTCTACCTCTTTGCTTATGGGTTTGGGAAGCTCAGATGCCTGTGCGGTTTGAACAAGCATGTTTCTCAAATCAGGAGGTTGACACTTACACCTGCATCAAACCTTTTGACACAGTCCTGCAGACCACTTTCAGAAGATGAACAAGACTCTTGTCCGGTGGATGGGATGGTCAGGAAGGTTCAGTGAATTGAGCTTGCATCCAGCACTTTTGTTTGGGTCTCGTCTCCTGAGGCTTGTGCCGCTTGCCATCACCACGTATGCATTGGTCTGTGCTTGGGCGGGAGACCCAATTCCTTCCGATTTATAGCGAAAATGAGTTGTACAAGGGAGCATAGTCCGATCATAGTCCATCATACTTAGATGACCTTACACGTGTCTGAACTGTTTGCTTTGGTCCTCAGCGATTGAGCCACTGCCACCAAACACTTTGGACCAAGGACAGTTTCCTTGCTCCAGTTGAAGAGGTCGCAGCCAGCGTGCTCGTGTCGGAGGTACGGGAAAAGGCTTGAATTTAGCGAGTCTGTCTGTTTACAATCCCCAGCATTCTCACGATTTCTTCCGAAGCTCTGAGAATGTCATCCTGTTGTACTCAGCGGGCTAGCCGGAAAGATGGCAATTAATTACTCGTAGCGAATATAAGACAAATGAAAGAGAGAGAGAGAGAGAAACAAGAGAAAGTAAGAATCCCTTTAAAGGGGGCCATATCAAAAAGGGCCTTTTCTTTTAAAGCAATTTATGGTTTTCTTATATTGCTGTGGGTCATTGCACCAGGAGACCTTGGTTGACCTACTGGAAGGTCAAGGTACATGGTGGTGGTGGTGCTCCAACTTTGCACCCATCCCCACATATTATACATAGATTTCTGTATATGGTTATGTCATATAATGCATATATATATACACACTGTATTTTTATTATGCAATTGTTCAGTCTCTGACTCTGGTCAGTGCTGTTGAGGATGCTGAGAGCTCCGAACTTTGATCCTTCTGACAGCTTGCCATGAGTGTGAGATGACGGCAACAGCTTGCCACGCTTGTGGGGATGTGTTTGTCACCAACAACCAATGACCGCTCCAAGCCGACATGGAGACACTGAGCTGCAGGTCGCTCCGCAGCAGCTCCAGCCAGCGTGAAAGAAGTGCAGCCGGACCGATGACCTGAGGGGTGGCTTGAGGCAAGATGTTTCTCCCATTTCCCAACGAAGGATTTGGCTTTGGACCCATTCAGTCATGCGATGACCTGAGTGTTCTGCATCTTTGGAAAATACCGATCTCCTGTGAGGTGTTCTGTTGGGAAATCTTTGCACAGTCTTGTCGTTTTCACTGGATGATCTCCTTTGCTGGGTTTCTTGGATCTACTGGGTTAGTCATTCTTGGTTTGCATGCTTTGGCATATCATGGATGGAGGTTCCGGTGTGTTTTGGGTCAGAGTTGTGAGTTTCAGAGTGGTTGTTTGTTTGTTGGACTGTGGGACCAGAGAAGCATAGAAACAGATACATCAATCTAACCGCGTGGAACAACATATCCATCAGGTGGAAGAGACGTGGCTTGACCTACCGTAGCGATCATGGAACCGTTCGTCGGGCTCCGGGTGGAACGGCCCATCTCCGATGCTGTCTTCCACTCGGTGACTGCAAGAGCGCGAGCGCGCTGCTGCGAAGAAGGGATTGCTTCTTTTGGGCATCCTAGGTTGAGACGTTCACCCAGATGCCTCCCGGGAAATTTGACAGAATAGTGGAAGTTCTTTGATCAAAGGCCTGTCGGATGATCTATGCGAAAGGAAAGCCGAGGGTGTTTGTTGCACACCATTCTGAGAAGGGTTTGATTCTTTTTATTGATTAAAAGCACAATACGGACCGGACCGGACGGTGGGAAGTCTCAGTTTTGCCATGTCACACTCATGTGGACTGTGTTTGGGCTGCGCGGCTGCGCCATACTTGCAGCATTTTGAAAGCTCAGATCATTTTGGAGGGAAGCCGACTGCGGTGACTTACGTCCCTTCTTCAAGGCCGCTGATCAAAAGCATTTGGACATGTTGGCTGCACAAACAAAAGAAAGTGGTTCATAGCTGAATTGAACGTCCAGATGGTGCATTGCTAGCCCTTCTGGGGTCCACAATCTCCGCATACCATTTTGCACCAACGACACCGGTTGCATCATGTTGCATCAATTTCACCGATTCCACAGGCTACACCAGTTACACTGGCGCCAGATGAATGACCTGAACACTTTCCAGTGAGCGTACTCATCGTCGCCGTAACCAGAGCAAGCAGCCTGAGTTATCCTTGCAGCCGCTTCCCAACCGTGAAACCAGGGTTGAGCCCATCGCTCCTGTTGCCGGATTAGTGGAGGTCAGCGCTGTGTTGTTGCGTTTTTGCTGTTGTCCATCCCAGGGCCGATTCTGCTCCTATGGAGGCTGGGTCTGCTGGGATGGAGGCAAAGGTATCGGAACTGTTTCACAGACAGAGGGTCTTCGAGAGGAGGATTCATGGTCCGCAAATATACAGCACACACTGACAAATAAGACACTTTCGTGCCTTCCAAGGTTATGGACATGTATTTCCAGATCAGAGCATACTCCGGCTTCCGCCGCACTTTTCTTGGGACCGAAGCTCATTTGGGTGTGTATAAGAATAGGGAGACCTCCCGGTTCGACCCGCTGGAAGAAGGGAACATCGACCTAAACCATCCTAAAACCCATTGAGCCAGGCAGATGATCTGGACAGCCTCATCGCTGACTCCCTAAGCGGAGTCCAAGCCGCTCTGGACACCGACCGAAAGGTGCACGGTTTGGTGGATGTGATGTCAGATGATGGGATGGGACAGGATGGGGTGGAACAACCATGGAGGGATGGATGGATCTGGGAATTGTAGATCTTGAATTGAATTGACTATGCTCCATGTGTGGGAAGGCCCTCACTGCAGAGTTCTGAGCTATGTTTGAGGCAATTGACGGGGTTGCAGTTTGAAGCATCCTGGATAGGATAGGAAAAGACGGTTCGTCGAGAATGCTGGATAGAACGAGATGTCTCTGGCGGAACTTACCCAGACAAAAACTAGTGATAGGGCATCATTATGCTCCGATGCCATGCCATATGAAGTGACACGCGAACTACATCTGTTCGAGAGAATCTCGAGACAACAAAGAGTTTCTGCAAGTTCCCTGATCGGGAAGCTGCTCGAGCTAATCGAAATTCCTTACTGTAAGTGAATGACCTCGGTGTTGGCACGTATCAGTTTGAGGAAACACGCATTACTGCAGGTGGTCGTTGGTGGTCAATAGCACCCAGTGGCTGGTCACAGTGGATCTAATCCAAAACGACTACCTGGTTTTCAAAAAAGTGAAATAACTTGGTTTCAGGGTAGGAGGAACCACACACCTCCTTGCAGCAACGAGATGCGTGCCTCATGCTTTCAGTTAGGCAGGCCAGGCAGGCAGTTGGTTCGCTACAAAAGGAGCTCCTTTCCCAGGGGTTGCGAGTGAAGAATCTTGACCAGTCCGCTACTTTGCTGAACCCTGAAGTTGGTGAAGTGTGCGAGCCCCTTCTGTGCCGCTTCAGCTCCTTTTGCAAAGACTTGTTGTTTTTATAATCATTCGGTTCTAGGTTCCTGAATCTTTGGGACCCAACGACACCCTAACAAAGCGGTTGACACCCCAAAACGCCCAGGTGTATCCTAAAGCCCCACAAACTGTTACACGATTTCAACGTTATGCCGCAAATTGCTAACCTCAGATACCTCAGGTTCTGTTTCGATTTGGTTCTTCACTCACGTTGAACACAGGCAGCTCCGGCGGATGCGGGTCGGAGTGCTGGGGAGGCCGGGAGGGGTGGGGGGGGTCCGTGGCAAAGGCCCGAAGTCGTGAACGCCGCAGTGAGCTGCAAGGTTTCGACATGTCTGGTTGGGCCTTAACAGCGCCATGTGAAACATTCTAGTTGCAATGTGAAGCGGAAGTGCAAGTTGGTCTTGGACCCCACTCCTAAGTGTCTACGTGGGGCCTTAGGAGTTGAACACCCTCAATTTTAGGCAGATAAACAGGTGGCAAACAACACAGCGCTCTTGCGCCCCTCCACGCGCCCCCATGCCTTCGAATCATGTCTACTGGGGTACGGGTTTAGTCCTACTTGTAGGTACATAATATCCTTAACAGTTTCCAAAAGTTCATTCGATAAGGCGATCCATGCAAAAGGGCAACGACGAAGGAAGCACCTGCAATGGGAAGCTTACAGTGGTAGTATCTTCCAGGAGGTAATGGTAAAATCCACAGGAATCACATTGGCTGTTGGCCGTGCTTTTTGCGCAGCCTGGACGTCCACAAAAAGCAGCCTGCGCACGAGTCAGCCTGCGTAGCTTTGCGGTGCCAGTTGACTCAAGGTGTAGCCATCGATGTTGCGTCTGCTGCTGTGACATCATCTTGAATTCCCGCTTCCTGCACTTGCCACGATCAAAGCCAAGATCAAAGTTCTTCACTGAAGCTGTTGCAAATAGACATCGTTGCTCGACGGCCCCCAGCCTCCAAATTTTATGAATGCCACAGGCTTCCAAATTTCTAAAGAAGCCCGCTCCGTTTTTATTGCTTGGTCACCCTGTCGACGGGCGCCTCCCTCTCTTCCCTGCTGAAGCAATGCCTAGTCTCAATTTTGCTTGATTTATATATATATATATAAGGGATTTCACACTGAACAACAAATTCTTCCCTGGTGCATCCTCTGGCCCACTTGATCAAAGCCAAATTCACATCGAAGTCTCTTGTTATAAAGAGTCATACAGGTGATGTGGATGTGCAGACATGTTGTGTCAGAATCCACTCCAAAGAATCCTCTTACTTTTCCGACGATTTCAGAAGTTCCTTGAACTTGATAAGCCTCGCTGCTTTGCCAATAAATCACCACCTGAGAGAAGCAACAGGAAGCGGCTGGTTTCAGTAGAGGATCCTGTACTAACTTAGTAGATCTTAGTATATCGTAGTAGAATATACACAAATAGTTGAATCGATATTATATATATATATTATAGGTATATATTTTACACTTCTTCCATTGGCAATTGGTGTGGATGAACGGAGAAACACGTGGACATCGTGGTTTGTCTGCTGACGCTGGCTTTTTTTGGTCAAGCTGGCGAACCTTCGGTCTACCGGGGTTGGAACGAGCCCCGTCCACGGACAGTTCCCCGCCAGGCGGTCAAGGAGCTGAAAGAAGCGGGGAAAGGCGAAGCGCAACAACCTGGTGAGGAGAGGTTTTCGAAGCTTTCGGGATGAAAGGAACGTGACTCAGAGGAAGAGTGAAAAAGAATACATGTCCCCTACTACGGTAGTTTATTGGGGAATGTATTCAATTCCAACATCTGACACATGGATGACTCTGTGGAGAAGTTAAGGATTGCTATTCACTGTTGAAGTCCAGCCGTGCCTGATGCTGTTGTGACATTGACCCCCACCCCAGAAACCCTCGCCGCCCTAGCAACATTGTTGTTTGCCGTTCTCAGGTTTGCAGGATACCAAAAGCCATAGCAAGGCTACGATGCCACAACAGGAACCACTCGCTCTTCAAGGGATTCTTAGGTGCATCCTCGATCGTGGATCTTCTGCGTTCTTTCACTTCGACTTCTTGAATTGGCACTTGGTGAAACAAAGGAGAGGACATCCTTCTTGGACCGCAAGCCCTCCTTCTTATAGGTGGACGAAGCCCGCGGACGACGCCAGGATTTTTTCAAAGACTTAGTGAAAACCTTCCAGGACAGCGAAGGGGAACTGGGTGACGGTTCCAACATCCTGTCAATTTTTCAGGATAGAGGATCACCGGTTGTTAGCCAATCATGTATCACCGGTTGTATCATGTTTGGTGCCTGATTTTGACTGCTTAAAGTATGTCCTTTTCTACTCCTGATGGAGTGCTATCCAATTGCTAAAGATCAGCCATGCGTTTCAGTCTTCTTGGTGACTCTCAAATGAACACCCCCCTGGCGCATTGTTGGGCCTTGATCAACGGCTAAAGAGGCACAAGCCTGGAGCAAGTGTTTTCCTGGGTTTTTTGGACCCTAAGCGTCCCAGGACCCGATGCGGTCCTACCAGTTGGAGCCCCCAAGACTCAAAGACCAATGATCCAAACAGGGACCAAGGGACCTCGGCAGATTTGATTTGCTCTTCAAAGCCATGTTTCTGCAGTTCGATGATGTTCGATGTGACTTTTTGGAAAGGTTGTGCAACACACGGAGGGAAGGACTCAGGTCTGGTCACTGGTTTCCCGAGGCACCAAACAGGTCTGAGTCAAGCGTCGACTTCTTAAGGACGAAAATTTTCAAAAAGCCATGGCTGAAGCCATGCAGCAGGTGGGCGGATGTGCTTCATGTGGGTGTGGGTGTGTATTAAAATAGGGAGACCTCCCAGCTCGACCCCCTGGAAGAAGGGAAATTGACCAGTCTTCCCATTGGGCAAGGGGGTCTCCCTGTAAAAATACACACCCGTGTGTTGGGCTGGTGACTTTGGCTGCGGATGTTGTGACCTGAGTCATGAGCAATGAGTAAAGGTTTGGAACTGATTCCTGCCGCTGCGACGGACTAGACGATTTCTGGATCAGACCGAAAGGCCATCAGTTTTGGGCGAGTTGAAGACAAACATGCAGGCTAGTTGGAAGAACCACTTGATCAGAATGGGATCGGACTGACTGTCGATCTCCAAATTGGGCAATTTGGGGCCTCCTGGTGATGTCAAACACCTGATGTGACGGAAGAGTCTCATGCTCCACCCCTTCTACAAAAAGTTTATTCTTGGGTCCATTTGGAAGCGTGATTCTTCAGCCATGTGTTTTCGCGCAGTTTTTCTCGTATAGCTGGGTTTGTGAGAAGGAAAGGAGCAGCGAACGAATCATCACTGCTAAAGTGGTTCAGTACTAGTCCTTCGACGTTCTGGAACTCGATTTCCGGTCGCTTTGCCAAGTTCCCTCATTTTCATCCCAACGCAGAAGTCAGTAATGACCATCCCTTGTGAGGAGGTTGCTAGGGCACAAAACAGTGCCACAAAGGCCACAAAGGTCAGTCAGAGCTTAACAGCAGGGACATGTCTCTCACGGACTTTCATCATCCATGTCAATGTCATGATATCAAAGGCAGCCAATGGTTCTACTTTGAGCTTCGGAGGGTCTCCCTACTTTCAAGCGAACACATGTGAGAGGGGGCATTCAACAAACCCGCTCTTTTCGCGCTTTGTTGATGGAAAGGTGCACCCAATCCACCGCAAGTGCTAATCTACATGAGTGGGCCTCAAAGTTAGGCCACCAAAGCTGGTTAGCCCATGGGATTACTTGGAAACACATGGTTAGGCCATGGGCTCATGATTGGTTTCCGGAGATCCTCCCCGCAGTTGTTGGTTATACCCGGTCCACCTACTGACTGGGCACAATGAGACGGTTGGTTGTGATTTAACCGACAGCAAGCCGACCGCCCGACAGCGGACGGACGCTGCAAATGCTTCCAGTGCTGTTTCAAGTTGTGACATACAGTCGATATTCCCTCAAGGATTTTTGCGAGGAGTTGAAGCGGCGGCAATGGGTTCCCTAAAGAACTGGGCTGGTTTATGGAATCTCTGCCCATCTGCCCAGACTGCAGACTCAAAGGCTGAGTCCAAGCTTGGGAGCCTAGACGTCGCGAGAAGCGTCTTTGTGTGGAATGGTAACGGCCGAAGATCGGAAGCAAAATAGGTGCACCAAACACATCATGCCAGGAGCCCCTACTAGTGTCCTTGCTCCTAGTAGTAAGGCCAGGAGCCCCTAGTAGCTTCTTGTTCCTAGTAGTAGCTCCGTTCGTAGCAAATGGCCAAAGATCGGACGCAAAATGACAAATAGGCTGCCGGCGCTTTGAAGCATGCAAGGCGTTTCTAAAGGGTGGGATCAAAAGACGTCTCACCAGTGGCCCTGCGAAGTCTTCAGCTTTGAAAGGTCTGATGCCGAATGTCCGAAAACGACTTCTTCTTTCATATCGAATGCGAAGTAGATGTTGATAAGCCAACGTCCAAGTTGGTAGGCGCAACGGACAAGAGCAAGAACAGAACAGGTGAGAGGCCAACGGTCTGGATCCAGTGTGCAGTCCACACAAGAACCTCCTGTCACCCTGGAATCACGGGTCTGCGGAGTTCGAACAATTTTTGAGGAAGAGGACGCTGACTGTTCACCTAGCCATACTATACTATGGTGTTCGGTTGGATGAGATACTGGACGCAGTATCTTGTTCCCTGTGGGTCATCCTGGGCAGAGTTAAGCCGCAGCTGGAGGACACACCACACCCATCGTGACAAAGGCTTTCTCGTTTCACCGAGGGCTCTTCGGGACTGGCATTCCAACCGCACGCACACCAATCTCAAGTTTGTGCGTTTGCCGTGCAATTCTCTCAGGCAACAACGAAGCGTTGGTAGTCGTGTCCGTGTTCTACATAACACATTGCTCATCATGTCTGCGTCCCACGTAACAACAGCACGAAACGTGACGAAGGTGGCAACTAGAAACTAGATACTAGGGTGCAACATATTTGACATCTCAATGATTAGTGGAGGGTTTGACCTGTGTGATTTGCATAGCAAGGCCAGGGAGCTGTTGACTTTGAAGGATGAGTTGTCAGTTTCTGAACGCACACGTCCCTTCTCAGTCAAATCAGTACAGTATGTATTTAGAGCGATTAATTGATGGAACAAACTGCTCTCTCAAGACTCTTGGTTGGAAAAGACACAAGAAAGAAGTGGAACTGGGTGATATCGTGTGATATCCAAAGGAGCAGGTGGGGGTCACATCTGGGTCACATCTGCCAGTACGTGGAAGGTCTTGACTAAGCGGGCAGGATTCATCCGGTATATAACTTAACCGTAAAACTCTCAAGGTCTGTTGCATTCTGATCACTGATGGTTAACGAACAGTTATGAATGGTGCCCAACTCTGAACGCTTTTGAACAGTTGATTTAGCGTGCGCGCTGGTCTTCAGCAATCATCCGCAACAACAACACGGGGCGCCGGTAAAATAGCCGCAGATGTCCGCAGGAAAAGACTGCTCGTTTGTCCTTTCTTTTTTTGCATTGGAGTAAGTAGGAAAAGCACGTTTCATTGCCCGAGGCCTTCAATCACAGAGGCGGGCCCTGATCTGAAGCACCACGTGAGCAGGTCAAGTTCAGAGATCCCTGCTTAGTAGGATCAGAAGATGCAGGGACTAGTGCTGATCCACTCAGATGGAGGCTTCAACCTGACGGGGGTTCATTCATCTTGGTGGAAGCAGAGATGTTGTTCGTTCCGAGTCTGAGCAGTCAGGACAATTGGCACAGATGTAAAACCGTCCAATGGCGTTTGCTGTGATCGCGTTTGCTGTGGCATACCTCTACTGACTTGCGTCAAAATAAGGGAACCCCACAATGGGTTCTTGAGTTCCGGTAGCTGAGAGGTGAGACACGTAGACAATCCAAGGTCAGGTCAGTTGTGCTTCAGGCCGCTGCGCCCGCGAGCGCGCCTGCCGCAGCTGCACTTGCAAGCGCGCCCGCCACGTCCGCCGCGCCTGCCTCGGCAGTAGCATCTTCCGCGGACTCCGGGGCAGAGGCGCGAAGCGGCGCGGAGTGAGGATTTGGAGAGCGTCGCGGGACCTGTTTGTGAGTGTCTGATATCCGAAATCCCAAAGAAATGGTAGGGAGTGTAGGGATCGCTTGTCAGGTTCGTTTTGGTAGATTCACCCCCGAAGCCTGAGGTACGTTCTCATGCTGTCTATTTGTTTCCCGCTGCTGTGCAGCTGGCTGCACAGCTAGCCTCGCTGTCAAGGACTTTTTGCAGAGCTTTGTGAAGAGCTTTGACCAAGCTGCTGGCGGGAGACCCGAGATATAGCTGTTCTGATGCAAAGGGTCGGAAGAGGATTTCTTCTCGGAATTTGACTCAAACACACTGTCAAAGTCCCTTTTAGACCTTGGTCCCATCCGAATAGCATAGGCCAGCACTGTTAATTTAAGAAGACCAAAGGTTTTGTTGTGGGATGCAACTCCGTGGCCACAGGGTACGATCGTTTGTGAGACAGTGAAATTAAGTTCGCATGAAAAGCCAACACAGAACAGAACACCACTGGAAATTTGACTGGCAAGCACTAGTGTCTAGTGTACCTCATTTGTGGCTTGGGGCCACCAAGCTGTCCGGCAAAGCAAGAGGCTCACATGAATCATTGGAGGTTTGCGCTGATTATTCCATTCGTAGGGCTCAAGAAGAGCCTTTTCGACGGTGACATATGCACAGGCCCAGTGGATCTTTCCAAAAGACTCGAAAACAAGAGCCAGAACGAGCCGGAACGAGCCAGAAAGTCCCTGCTTTCCGTGAACATGGAACTCAAATCCGCTTGCTAGATTGGCATCTTTTTTCATGGCTTTGTGCAGAGCAGAAGCCGGGTCGCTTCAACCTTGTCACTGCAAACCTTTGCACCCAATCGATTTGTTTCATCCACAGCGCCACAGCCGACTGCCAAGGTTCGGACAAGGACTTGGAGAAGCAGCTGACGAACATGATGACGTTGCCCAGACAAAGTTTGGTTGAGTGTTTGTGGCCTCAACATGCAAACAGTGATCTCCCAGTATAAATCCAACTTTTGTTTGCAAGCAAAGAAGGAGGAGCACCTGCTTGTTGCCCCGTGTTGTAGCCCCTTATTTTGAACAAAGCATTGTAGATGTTGCCCAGGCAAGGGATTCAGAGCTTTCATCGTCCGGGTGACTGTGGCATCGTCCGAATCAGGTCCATGCTCTCCAACGATTTGCTGACGGATTCGCTACAGCAGATAGCTGATGCGTCTGGGACTCAGTTGCACCAGAGGCGCATGGCAACCAGGCCTCTAGCTCTCGGGTTCGGTGTCTACCTTTTAACATTTTAGACATTTGATTCTTTTCTTCCATCGCCTTTAGCTCCTGACCTGTATTGACTTGTTGTAGGGGTAACTCCATTTGTGTCGGGGTCGACTGCTTCTATGTATATGACTGTATGGGACTTGTGAGAGGTGTCAGAGTTAAATTCTTGGCAGCGCAGAAACCGAGATTTGTTGGTCGCCTTCCCAACATCCTGCATACACAACCTCAAATGAGTCGGTTTCTGCAGCTCCCAAACTTTTTTTTTCCTCAATTAAGAGCGGCCCAACCCGGGGCCCCAGAATTTGATCCAGGGTTCCTGCAGAAGCCGATTCTGTTGCTGCTTACAGGCAGACAAAACTCCTCAAATGCCTCCCTCGTCCGAAAACACTTCCAGGACCACACAATACACGTTCAATCACGCTCAGAGAATCGGACAACTCTCACGGAGATAAAGCAGGTACGGTCTCACTTGTGGCCTGAGTGACAAACATGGTAACTGCGCCCCTAAGGGGCCGTGCGGTTTAAATGTTTTTGAACGCATCGTTTGCTAGCAAGTGTTTATTCACGTCGCTTCGCGACGGTAACCGCCCGCACCGCATGAGAGGGCTCAAAGACTGCAGTCATGCTCCAGGAACGGGTCAAGGTAGGTACTTCCATTGAACATAGCCCCAGAAGTCATGGAAGCTATGTTGAGCCACGTGAAACTGTTACCGTTCCTGGACCTGATCTCTGCTTATCTCTGCTCCTGTGGAGCCACATATCCGGACATTCAAGTCCCTATCTCGCGGACACGTCCTTTGGATAGTGACTTCTAAAGCTATGTTAGGCAATATGGAAGCTATGTACGGTCACGTTGGGGGGGCTTTATTCCAATCCCTTTTGAGCCCTCGTTGGGCTATGTTTACGACGTTCAAGTCCCTATCTCGCAGACACGTCCTTTAGATAGTGGCTTCTGGGGCTATGTTAGGCAATCTCTTTACTTTATTCCAGTCCCTTTTGAGCCCTCGTTGGGCCATGTTTTGCGTTCAAGTCCCTATCTCGCAGACACGTCCGTTAGATAATGACTTCTAGGGCTATGTTAGGCAATATGGAAGCTATGTTGAGCCACATTAGGGGAGCCTGTTCAGCCAAATGTCCGGCCTCAGTCCAATTACACTTTACCGCGCAGATGATTCAAATCATGCAAAGGAAGAAAATGGCATTTCTTGCATCACCAGGGGCTTCAAAATAGCACGAATTCATCTTCCAGCATTTTAAGCCGGTTCCACAAACGTGAAAAAACACAGGATTCTAGAGCGAAAGTGCACCCCCCCCTAGCTAAAGCTATTGGCTTGCATATGCTAGCTTACGTATAGCGAGTGCCCTATAAAAACGCCTCGGCACCTTCGGTGCGGGCGGATTCTACGTTTCCGAGCGAAGCGAAGCGAATCGAATCGAATCGAAACCATTTCTTGCCCAATAGAACCCCACCCCACCCCATCCATGGCATAGCATCAAGTATGTTTGCAGGTACAAGTGACGTGAAAACCACGAAAACTAAAGACATGCATAAACGCGCGGCCCCTTAGGGGCGCAGTTTCCAAAAACATGACTGAGTAAAACAGGTATCATGCAGTAGGGTCAAAAGACAACCGGTGCACACACACACACACACTCTGAAGTGCAGCTTCTGAGGCTTGAGCCTTGGTTGAAGACCAAGAAAGGCCGTCGGAGCCGCATTGAACTCCGTCGAACCATGGCGTTGGGCCGCAACTGCCAGCGCTGGTTTGTTCGGGTGTTTGTTGTTGAACATCGTTTGGTTGGCAAAATGTGTTGGAACTCGCAGCCCCAGAAAAGACATGAAACGATATTGGGGTGGTACTTTCTTCATTTGAGCCTGACTTAAGCTTGCACGGCTTGGATGCCACACAGACTAAGCATCCTGGACAACCAAGAGTCCAAAGGAGCATTTGTGGTAAGATGTTCGAGTGCAGAGATTGCTGCTTGCTTTGTTCGTGAATTATGCGTCGAATTTGTGTGATTCCAGACAGATTTTATGATTCATAGTTCGTGTTCTGGGACAAACTTTGTACTTCGGGATTTGTACTTCGTCCTTCGTGAGTGTGATTCGGAACACATGTGTTTATTTCATTTAAATTTCTGGTTCGTGATTCGTCCGGATTCCTCTCCGGATGCCTCGGATTTCTGGTTTGTGCGCCTGGTTCTTGCATGGCAATCCCAGCGCCTGGTCGGAGGCTTGGCAAAGGCCGACCGCAGCCGCTACGAGGCCGGAGCTCCGATGGCGGGAGCCGGAGAGGTTGCGACTAGGCCCCCTGAAAGCCTCCAAGCAGCACGAACCATGGCGAACTCATTGGTTGGTGGGTCAAGGCGGGGGGCCCTGGTTGGCTGAAGATAAACGGGCAACCTAGCAGGAATGAGGTTTTGACCCACAACCATTTACTTTCCCATACCTTCTGGGCGTTGGAATTTAGGGAGTCTCGACCAATGACAAAACGATGGTCGGTGGCGTTTCTCTGCACTCGCAGAACTTGTCATAACTTGTCCATCCGTCGTGATTTTTTGTGGCCTTAACCAAAATGGTGTTGTTCGGAGTCAGGATTTGTTCCCCTCCTTGAATTTTCAGTTGTGCCCGCCCTTTCTGATCACATTTTGAAGGCACGTAGGATTGAAGGCACAGCCACATCAACCTCATCCACTTAAGGAATGGACGGGATGCTTGCCTGGTGGATTGCAGAAAAAACTCAACAGACCGTGGCAGCCTGGGCGCGCCAGGCCATGCTTCGGCTATACAGATCCATTGTAGGTGTCTACAAGCACCCTTGGCGCGTGTTGTCAGAGGTGCCTCAGGAATTTGTGACTTCAAACATGACCACTTCAAGCTGATGATCCATGAATCCTGGATTCCCTATAAGCCAGTTTAGAAGTATTTACTTAGGAATATAACTTCTGAATCTTAGGATGCTTTGTTGATCCAAAGTGCTTCACTGTTCATGGATACTGAATGGACAGTCCCTGGGGTTCAAAACCAACATCCTTTGCAGGACCCATTGTTTTGGTGGTCCATCGAGACAGTCATCGCTTGAGGAGTCCCAATCATAACACGTAGGGCTTGTAACTCCGCTACCCAATGTGGATGTGCTTGGATCACATGTTGTTGATGGTGTCTTCCGCATTCCAATGAATTGATTCCCTCGATACGTTTGCTTCGCGGTGTGCCGTGTCCTTGCTTTGCTCTGTGTCCATCTGAGCTGGCCAGATCCAATCCTGATCCCTTGCCAGACTTCGCACGCGACCAGGAGAGAGGGCCAGAGAGGGTGGAGATTCGGATCTCTCATAGCTGTGATTTGGTGGCTATCCATCCATCCATCTATCCATCTATCCATCTATCCATCCATCCATCCATCCATCCATCCATCCATCGATCGATCGATCGATCGATCGATCCATCTATCTATCTATCTGTTCTTGTGAAAATCATGGGGGTTGGGCATCCAGGTTTCCTCGCGATTCGGGCCAATACCAAGTGTCTCTCGTCTCGAGAGGCTGAAATGACCCAAGCAGCAGACAGCCTTGTTGGTCACAAAAAGAATCAAAAGGCAATTGTTGGGCAGTACACTGGAGGCTTGCTGCATCAACTCGCAGTGATTCGCAGCCTCTCGAGATGTAATGACCAGATCGCGATCAGCAGGGCATCATGTGGGGTCGGCTGGTCAGCTCCGCGATCAGGTGCAGAGGATGTTGGCGGAACTTCAGACCCTCGGGAATCCGCCAGATGAGGTCATGGCTGAGGTGGGGGTTTTGGAGGTTGTTGGAGGTGGTTTAGCGGGTTGCATGATGCAGGAACGTCAAAGAACTGCCCAGAATCTGGAAGGACAGTTTGCAAGTCCTTGCTTCCTTCTAGCACCCAGCATACAAGAAAACTACTGGCACAACTCACATGTCCCCAAATCTCCTTCCCAAGCAGAACATGAACCAAGAAGTGTCCCAAAAAGGATTCAAGCACATCCAAGCAAGTTGCAGTAAAGCACATTTAAAAAAAACACACACACGACACAATGCACACACACACACACACCAAATTGGAGTTTTTGACACCGACCTCGGATCGACCTGCACCACACGCCGGACCCAGCTGGTGTGTCCCGCGAACGAATGAGAAGCTGTGAGAAGCCACTTGCGAGGACCCCCCGTACAAGCCCGTACAAGGTTGCTTTTGGGGGTCTTTAGAACACGAATGAATGTTGCTCAACGGGAAATGAATCGATTGCTCACAGCAGATATCTTTCAACACATTCAAAGCACAGAGCAGACGATGAATTCAGGTATGTATATATTACCATATTACCCTTACCGACACCGACATTCTCACATCACCTCATCCAATTCGAATCCAAGTCTGGCTCAAACGTACGGAACACAATGGAACACAGCATACCAGGTTTCTCTTCAAAGCTTTTCTTTCTACAAGAGAAGTAATGGGTCAGTCAGTCGGGAAGATATTGTAAGGACGCCAGACTGAGCTTGAGAAGGCCGCGAAAAGGAGACGAAAGCAGATCCAATGCACCCGGGTTGTCACGCCCATCCGAACGGCCAGATTGTTCCAAAAGAGGTGGCCGAAGGGGGCGAGAGCTTTGAGGCGGCCGAAGGGGGCAGTACTTTAAGGCTTCAACACTGTTGGAGTTTACTGTTTTTTTTGTGTGTTTTTAATGTGGACAGTACCCTCTGTAGAAAGATTCCTTGACCAAGTGTAGAATCTCTTGAAGAGGTGTTGTTATTCTTTGGAGCAGGCAATGGCATTGTGCCTCGTTGTTTGTGATCATCAATCTATACTGTATCAATCTGCATTTTTTGGCAGGTGGCAAGGGAATTTGGCCATGTGAGTTTTTCCCCAAACAGTTTACTGTTAGGGGTTCTCAATGCTTTACAGAATGGTCGCCTTGGTGCTGGATGGTCTGGTCGGGTTCCCGGCCGGCTTGTCTCTGACTTCCCTTCATTTGTCTCCCAGTTCTTTTCATTTGTCTCCCAGGCTGGGTGCTTGTGGTCGGGTTCCCGGCTGGCTTGTCTCCCACTTCCTTTCATTTGCCGGCTTGTCTCTGACTTCCCTTCATTTGTCTCCCAGTTCTTTTCATTTGTCTCCCAGGCTGGGTGCTTGTGGTCGGGTTCCCGGCTGGCTTGTCTCCCACTTCCTTTCATTTGTCTCCCACTTCTTTTCACTTGTCTCCCAGTTCTTTTCATTTGTCTCCCAGGCTGGGTGCTTGCGGTCGGGTTCCCGGCTGTCTTGTCTCCCACTTCCTTTCATTTGTCTCCTCTTCTTCCCAGCTCTGGACTGCTGTGTCTGCCTCTGCCTTGCAATCCTTTCATTTGTCTCCCAGCTCTGGACTGCTGTGGCCGCCTCTGCCTTGCAATCCTTTGTCTCCCAGCTCTGGACGTCGCAGGCTCTAGTTGCAGAGTGTTCCGATTTCGAAAGACACAAACTGTTTGGGGTCTACGGTGGTGTAATTGACCCACGCTGAATCTCCAACAAACCCTCGACATTCTTGAGACAAGACACAGATGATCAATTTGCTAGGGCTGGTAGGGGTCAATACTTCCGGAAATGCTTATGGTTCGCTTGAGCCGTCAGCTGTTTGGAAGTCTTCAGTGCTGACCGCCCTGCACAGGACATGATGAAAAACATGGGCCTGGATGCCAACCTGGCTGGTCCTGAGCAGGACAGGGTCGGCATGGCTGAGGTGACGGCCAACACGACGCTCCCGGTGGGGGCAACACCTAGCTTTTCAAATGACCAAAGTAGAAGAGTTGAGCGTGTTGCTTAACGAGGGTCGGATCTCAAAGCTCAGAAAAGCACCAGGCCTGAAAGCAAGAAGAGCTGCTTATTGTGCCTATTGTTCTTTGGGTGTGTGCAAACACTCAGCTGGGCGGGAACCAAAAAGGAGACCCTGCGAAGAATCCTTGGTCAGGAGAGTTTCCTCCCAAAGCGAGACAGCTGTGCAAACTGGGCATCGACCACTCCACTGAGGAAAAACGGTTGAAAGCGCAGCAGAGAAACTTGTTTCGTTGTTGAATATATTCCTTCGATCCACACTTAGGGAAACAGCTTTGGACAAATGCCACTGCCAGGATCTCATGAAGAAATTGGCGGATGACCCTGAGGTGGCCGGTTGAAAAGCTGCCTTCTCGAGAATGAGTTACTGTTTACAGTTTACACCTGTTCCCGTCGTCGAAAGGTCAGTGTGTTGCTTCTTGTGTTCCTTCACGTCAGTCCTTTTCTAAAAGAGTCGAGACTTGGACGTGGGAGATGACATACCGAAAAGGACAGATCCGAATCGATTTGGGTTCTCTCTCAACATCCCCTAGTTCACAGTGATACAGAGAAGGAGCATCAATCACTTCGGACTGCACCAAAGCGGTGTGGGGATTGGGTTTGTCTCCCTCCAGCTCAGCAGATAAAGAGCAAGCTTCTCAGCTCCCTGACCAAGCTTCTCAGCTCGAACATCAGGAACTCACGCGGGTCATGAAGGAAATGGCTGGAGGCATGCCTGAAGAGGCACTGTGGCGTTTGGCTTCAGAAAACCACTGAAGCCGCCTCTCCCCGACATGATAGACAAGTAAGGGGTGGGATTACGCGAGCACGTTTGGTCAAGTTTGCTTACAGATGTCATCCGATTTCTAGTAAAGGGTAGTGGTGGTGTTGGAGTAGTGTTTATGTTTTTGCTTATTTTGAATGGAGATCAGAGATGTTTTACCATCTAGATAGGGGTTTCATTAAACAATAGTCATCGTATTGAATTTTTGTTTTATAGCCTTTACTGCAATCATGGAATGCTCATTGAAGAATTCTGTGGGCAGGCATGCAAGCAGCAATAAAGCCTGCACTCCAAACGCAAATCTTGAAATCCAAATTCATTGAAACACAATCAATAACACATATTGTAATCAAATATGCATTAACAAATATATATTGCAGAGGTTTACATATTAACGATATTTTAAGAATTATTATTTTAATCACGAAAGGTAGCCTGGTAAGGACTACTTTGAGTTTGCTTTGCGAAGCAAAGGGGCTGGCTTGAGAGCTTACTCGGGACTAAAGATTGCTAAATTAATGTCTAATATTCCCTATTTCTCCCCCCTCTTTTCATGTAATGAATGATTAATAAATCAATTGATTTGATTTCTTCCCCTTCTCTTCCCCGTTCCCTTTTTTCGTCGTTAGCATTATTAAATTTTGGATATAAGGTGAAATTATGTGCTTAATAATTATAATAATACGACATTGATTATGAGGTTGCATAATACATTACGAATCTTGCGTAATGAGGTTACGTAATACAACTTCGATGTCGCGCGTGCGCACCCGGCAGCTTGACACTGCGCGTATTACGTTCATAGACCATATTGCTCGACACTAACGAGCATCGATGTAACATAGCTTCTTTGTAAATGTGGCTTCGACGTAACGCATGTAGGCTTGTAATCCTGACACAGTGCGTATAGCTGTGGGATTGTAATTGGTATAAATGCGAGGTATAGGTATTACGACTTTTACGCATATTTATTTGCATCTACCTAAACGTAAACGATTATCGACGTAACGCAACCTCTTTGTAGAGTTGTATAATGCAATCTGATTATAACGGTGTTTTTCTTGAGCCTTCTTATGCTTTCTTGTGCTCTTTGGTTTTGTTGGTTTCATCTATACTTAATTAAGGGGTACGTTTTTGAAATACCGGAGATAGTCCCTTATTAGAAAAGGTCCCGATAGCTACTCGGTCCGTCTTTACCTTTCGTAATTTTCCGCTCAAATATTAATGGATACCTTACAAAATAATTTTATTTAATTAATATTTTTTCTCTATATATATATATATTTATATTTTTCTAATATTTGTTTAAAATAATATATATATATAAATATTTTTAATAAATAATGAAAATAAAAATTATATATTTAAGGATTGTCGTCTTTGTCGTCGACTCCGGGGAGGTGCGTAGTAGAGGTTTTTGAGTTAGAGATTTATATTAGTATTGATGTTCTACGGGAAGGACGAATAGGAATGCGTTTTGTACGGAATTGTGGTCGCTTACGATGTTGGTGGTATGAGTTGTAGGTTGGAAAGGAATGAATAGGATTTGGAGAAAAATAGAAGACTAAAATATGGTAAATGAAAGACACGGAATCGTATAGAATCGTATTTGGTGTGGTAGAGAATAATAATTATTATGTAGTATGGAGTCTAAAACCGATGAATTGCGGTGACGTGAATATGCGAAACCGTAAAAACATAACGTCGTGGTATCGCGATAGGTCCGGGCCCCCGGTCTGCGCTTGCTAGTTGAGTGTGTTTTTGTTTTTAAGTTGCATATGTGTTTTTGAGTGCGGAAATTGATTCCCGTGGTTTAAAAATTTGTATCCTTAATATATAGATTGCGGACGGGACTGGATCTTGTAATGACGGTCTCCCGGCGACATTCTACGTTCAAGGATGTAGGCGTTAAGAAATCTGCAATGAAGAGATGTTCCGGCATCCGGCAAAAAGAATGCACAAAATTTAACGGTGGACATTGTTTGTCTTGAAAAGGCGAATCAGGTCTTGTGCAAATTAGTTCCTTGTGCTCACGACGTCATGGAATTCTTTAGTTGTCTACGTTTGGTTCCGATGGCCACCTCTGATTTCAATTTCAGGGCGTCAATTTCGTTGGACTTGGTTTATGGTTGGAACGCTTTGGAATCAAAGCGCAGGTAATTGGCGAAGAATTTGTACCTGACATAAAAGGATGTTGTTTGTATTTTCGCCAGACAGTGGCAATGAAGGAAGATACATATATATATATTATATATATATATTATACGTATATGTTTCAACTATATTATATCAGGTTTTTGCACGTGCATTGTATTGCACATATACATATTTGCGGCGTATAGCCGTGGTATTGCTTGCCAAGGCAAAAAGATGCAGGTCATATCCGCTTTTGCACCGATTCGGAGGCCGGGATGCGGAAGTGGGTGGACGGAAGCAAAGTTGGACAGGATACGAAACAGAGTTGTTTTTGCACGAAGCGCATGCTTTGATTCTATTGTGCTAGCTGTGATTGCGAGTAGAACCGGGAGTCGGAAAACAGGAGTTGGGAGAACCGATACATGGCGGTGTTTTTTTATCGGAAGGTAAACTTTGTTGAAGGGATGGGGCGTCGTCGCCAGCAGGCCATGGCATCTGGCGGCCCACGTGCAACAGAGGTTGTACCCGAGAGGTGTGCTGTGATTGAAAGATTGTGTTTGCTAATGAGACCCGCTGTGGAGCGCTGGATCGAAGAAAAGCAGACGGACATTCAGTGGAAGTATCCCTGGACTGATGTGGATTACCTGGTCTGGGAACCCGACTATTCGTTGGCGGATATCAGCGCCTGGCCGCTCGACGCAATATGCGTGTTGGAAAACGAGGCCGTTGTCTACATGCTGGCAAGTTTAAAGGCGGCTGCTGCACTGCCAGAGGTCAATGCCAGATGTAATGTGCATGTGGACACGTTGGTGACATTGTGTCCGGCCGATTTGAAGAAGCCGGGCACGCCGAAAGATTGGCCAGCCTATTGCAGCAGATGCTGTGTATCCGGCCGATTCCGCCAGGGCGCATTTAACGACGGGTTTTTTCACGTCTTCTTCACGCACTCTAGCCTCCGAGAGCGCCAGACAAGGCCGATTCCGCCAGGGCGCAATGAACGCCGCGTCTGAAACCCTCAAGAAACAAAGAAAACCGCGTCGTTTTCACGTCTTTTTCACGCACTCCAGCCTCCGAGAGCGCCAGACAATAGCCCGATTCCGCCAGGGCGCAACTAACGCCGCGTCTGAAACCCTCAAGAAACAGACAAAAACACGTCTTTTTCACGTCTTTTTCACGCACTCCAGCCTCCGAGAGCGCCAGACAAGGCCGATTCCGCCAGGGCGCAACTAACGCCGGGTCTGAAACCCTCAAGAAACGGAGAAAACCACGTCTTTTTCACGTCTTCTTCACGCACTCCAGCCTCCGAGAACGCCAAACAAGGCCGATTCCGCCAGGGCGCAACTAACGCCGCGTCTGAAACGGAGCCCGCTGCTTCTTTTTGTTAGCCATGGGGACCAAGCAATTGGACGAGGGTCACAGTGCGCTTTGTGCTTGAGAAGTGCTCAACTGCTTGGTTTGGTTTCTTTAGAAAAAACCTTTGGTGGACATGAACAAAGGGCTTCATCTGAGAAATTCGCCTACGCAAACCTTGCGAATCGGCTTACGCGGGGCTTACGCGGAATTCGTGTGGTCGTGGGCCACTCGACCTCTGCAAACAGGGCCTTTGGAGATTGAATCCACAACCCTTTTCTGCTTGCAATGTTTCTCACCAAAAATTATACAAAAATATATTGGTTGTATAATTAGAAGACTCAAAATTGCTTTCGCACCTCTTACGCATCGAATGTCCTAAGCTTGGCTTCCACCGAACCTTCCACAACCCTTACGCCGTGCAGACTTTAGCTTACGCGGCAATCTTGCAATTCAATCGGATCATGTGGTTCTTGCATTCAGGTTTTGAACGGTACTCAGGTGGCAACAATGGTTGGCCATAAATATCGAACAATTAGATTCGTTACGGCTTCTGCTTCGGGCACAACTTGCGGACACGTCGGAACCAAAAAAAAATTAGTGACGTAAGGCCAACTCCGCACCTTCTTAAAGAAAATCTTCAAGCTTCTGTTTCTTATTCTGGCGATTATATTTACGAATGAATTTGTAAAGGCATCGGAACCGGATCAGATATTTCCATCATACAACAACAGAATTCACGATGCGATCATGCAAAACACGGACCGTTTTATGGACCTGCCACATAATAACTATCAATAAAATCATTCTTGAATTAATGGTTTAAGGAAGGTAAATTCTAATATAAATTAATATATTAAATCTCAATAAATTTAATTTTCGAAATTTTATTTCATTTAATCTATTTTAAAATATTCGATTTTATATAATATATTTTCTTAAATATTTTTAATATCGAATATTAAAATAATTCGAACATTATATTTTAATATTTATATCATGTATTTTTTATTTTTTAAATTCAATATCTATAAACCATTTTCATACCATAATTTACCATTAATAATTTTGTTCCTCCTTTCCATCTTTAATCCTATATCTTTTGCTTTTTCTATATATCTTTATTTATTTCCTTGTTTCAAAATTTATCAATATTCCTTATCATTAAATTAAATATACGTATATTATATTTTACTATATTATACGGCGAAATAATCAATATATATTATATATATTTTTTATTTTACTCTATTAATATTAATTTTATTAATAATATTATTTCATTCATTCATTCACTTCCAGCCTAAGTGAGGTCAGGCCCGTGTCGGGCAGCACAACAACAAAACTGCGGTTGCTTCAAGAACATCCAGCCACAATCACGAAGCATGCGAAGCGAAAAATGCAAAGGCTCTAGTGGCCTATTCGGAAAAGGCCGTAGCCAGCAAGTCGGACAAATCGACGGCCTAGTCTTCTATAGATCGCCGCCACCATAAATTCATATCTTTCTATAGAACCAACCAATACAAATAAGCAAAGCAGCGGATAGGATCAACGACCGGACACCTAATTGCCGTCTATCCATCATCACTCATCCAAAAGCTTCCCGAGCTAAGTAAAAGACATTAATAAACTACCTAAATCTTCTTCGAAATAATAACCAATAGCCATCATTCGGTTTTATTAAAAATCGATATATAAATTTCGGCACGAAAGAAATCCACGGGGGTATCACGCTTCAAAACAAACGCAAACAATCTTTCGAATTATAAACCAATGCATACATAAATATAAATG